AAGTAGAAATTTCATGATTGAACCCAAAGAAATTGTCCTTGACACCGACATATCCTTTCAGTCTAGAAGTTTGGGGTCACGAAAGCAGGAATATAAGAATGTCACTATGCAATACATTTCTATTAAGAAATCCATTCAACAGTTGCTTCGAAAACCAGGATTTTTCTCAATTTTGCAAACTAATAGTAACTTTAACGGTGAAAATTTCTCTTGCTTCCGGGATGGAAAATTTGTAAGAGATTTTAATCAGCCCAGAGAAACAATATTTATCAATCTCTATTACGATGATGCAGAAGTAGCCAATCCTCTGGGTTCAAAAAGTGGAAAACACAAACTAGCAAACTTTTATTTCTCTATAATTGATCTTCCACAACACCTCCTTTCAAAATTAGACAATGTTATTCTTGTTGCATCACTTAAAACCGAGGACTTCAAATTATGTTCCCCAAATTCGGTTTTACGAGTAATTACTAATGAATTGAAGGAGCTTTGGGAGGAAGGAATATTGTTTGTACACAATGGTGAGCAAATTAATTTAAAAATTGCATTAGCTCAGGTATGTGGAGATAATTTAGGATTACATACTCTTTTAGGATTTTCCGAAGGTTTTAATGCAAATTATCCCTGTCGGCGTTGTAAAATGCATAAAAAAGAGTGCCAGAGTGTTTGTTTCGAATCAAAATCTAAACTCAGAACTGTAGCAAATTATTCGTTAGATGTGGAGATAAATAATCTCTGCGAAACAGGGTTGAATTTTTCTTCCATTCTGAATACTTTACCATATTTTCATGTCATTAAGAATTTTGTCTTCGATATTATGCACGACTTATTTGAGGGGGTGGTGCCTGACTTATTTCATTCCGTTGTAAATTACTTGGTTTCAAAAAATAAGCTGTCGGTTGACAAATTGAATTATCGCCTAGAGTCATATGATTTTGGTCGCCATTACGGGAAAAGTAGGCCGTCACAAATTAAACCAACATTTATGAAGGGAGAAACCAAATCTGGCCAAAATGCTTCGCAAAATATATGTATTGCTCTTTATCTTCCTATTTTACTTGGCGATTTGATCGACACTTCTGATAAAACTTGGTCACTATTCTTGTTATTAAACGAAATAGCCAGGATCCTCCTTGCAAATTTTATTTCATCTGGTGGGCTTGTTTTACTTGATTCTCTTATCGCTGAATTCCTGCACCAATATCAGGACATGATTCGAAAGCCATTGAAATCAAAACATCATCACATGTTGCACTATTCTTCCGCCATTAAGCAGATAGGACCCCTTCGTCAGTTTTGGAGCATGCCCTTCGAGGCGCGCCATAAGTTTTTCAAAACAACTGCACATGTCGTAGGCAATTTCAAAAATATTTCGAAATCATTGGCATATCGTTTTCAATTATCTCGTTGTTTTAAGCTGCTTTCTTTGGAAACATTTTCGCCACACTCATTTGCTTGCAATGATTACGAGTCAATAAATTTGGCAGACACGATAGAAAATGAATTATTACTGGGAAAATTTAGCAAATTGGCGACGGATCAGATAGTTGTGACGACTAAAATTACAAAAAATGGCTCTGATTTTGAGGTGGGTGGATATATCTTGTTAGAATATTGCAGAGAAATGCCAATTTTTGGTCGCATTGACAGAATCATTTTGGACAATGACGATTGTCACTTTGTAGTTAAAAAGTTTAGTAGTGAGTATATTGCTCAATATGCTGGATACAAACTTTATGAATCCGGACTATCCATACTTATTGACTCTAATGATGTAAAATATTTTCAATGCTTTTATTCTGCTATATCATTTAGCAATGACTCAGAGCATTTTATTATTCTGCCAATAATATATATTTAAACTTATTGTGGTAGTAAACAATAATTTATTGAGGGGATGTCCAAAAATTAAGATAATTTAACTATAAATGAACATAAGTTCATAACATAACGTAGGTTCATATAACTCCCATTTGCGCCATATGTAAAAATGGGATGTACATAATGCATCACGAGGGGAAGAAGGGTTTGAAAAGTCTGCACTTTTTCGTGAAATAATTTATGGGCGTTCCCTTCAAATTATTATGTAAGTTGTTAATAAATATATAATTTAGGATTCGCAGTCATCAGTTTTTAGCGGATCAATATTAGATGAAGCCGAAATAAGAGAACGGGGGTTAAATATTTCGCCAACATTGTTTAGCAAACCTGAGCGGAAACGTAACCCACCAAATTTTCAGCCAAGCAATTTATTTGTAAGTTAAATCCAGTCTTATTTCATTATCAAGAGCGCAAGGATATGATTTAATTGCGAAAGTTATTGGTTTGGTCTGTACTTAGGAAGACATATCACCAAATCACGAAGAATTGACAACCAGAGAGCCTATTATTAACGAGTCGTCGCAAGGAGAGATCATTAACCAAATCTCCGATCCAATTCCCATAGAGATTGATGGCTCATTTCTGCAATTACATAGTACCGATGAATTAGAATCTGGACCATTACACCAGGTGTGCCATCGGTTTGATTAAGGGAGCGTCCATAAATCACGTGATCGATTTTTGGACAATTTTGACCCCCTGGATGTTCTTCCTACTATGAAATCTTCCACATTTATGAGGCGAACTGTAATTCGCGAAGAAATGCAACAGAACTTGGTAGGGTTTCGAAGGATCCCGTCAATTTTACCACGCTTGTTTGATATTAAGGGAATGGTAAGAATTATGTTGTGTACATAATATGCTTAATGCTATTTATATAAAAACATAATCCTTTCCTATTGTTCAGATTGTTGAAGACTTCAATTCGAGACATCCAAGGCTTAGTCTTGTGATGTATGAGCGGTGGCCGAAAGCCTCGAAATTGCTCCTCACCTATGCAGAGGAAAGTGGCGTTGATTACCAAAAAAAATTGGATATTCGAAAGCCAAGGTGTGACTTAACTGGGGGTGAGTTAACAACATTATTTGCTCTTCAACTATAATTACAATTACCTAGCTAATATTCAATGATTTTTAGATGACATAGCATTGATTGCGTTCAGCCTCCTGCCACATATTCTCCCATCCTGTGCTCGTAAAATAAACCCTGCGCCCACTGGGGACAATAATATTAGTCAGTCGGACAGCGGTCCTAAGCCAAAGCGAGTTAAGAGATCAATAAAAGCAACAGATTTGGATGCTCGGAATAGCTTGATAATATTTAGATCTTTAAGTTGAATGATTATATAAAAGTATTAAATTAAGGTAAAAATGACATGAAAGTAATAGCATTTCTTTATTGTTGCAGAAAAATACGCATGTCGCGGAAGTCCTGAGTGAGAATAAGAATGTTGCCCCCCTCATACTGGCTCTTGGTTCTACATACGATTTAAGGATTGAGTCTTACTTCGTAATTTTAGATAGGATGGCTATCCCTTGTGGGGATAGTTTCTTTGTAGCCTTAGATACATGCATTAAAAGCTTTAGTGTTTTCTACCTGCCCCCTCCGGTTGAAGCAAAAAATGTATGGTTATTTTTGTTACACGGTATAGCTGGAAAACCCTGCGATAACTCAACATTAACCCCGGTTGTGCAAGCTCTAATCGGCCAAATAATGCCCAGGTTGTAATTTTAACTAGTAAATTATATTTTATTAGTGAAATTTTTAATTGTTGCAATATTTTAAGCAATACTGTTCTTGTAGAATTTTAAAATTAATGAATAATTAATAAAATTCCATAAATAAATTATGTAAACAAAATTGAATGGATTTCAAATTATTTGCATATACCGCTCTCATAAAAAGAACACCGTACTGAGTAAGCAGTACTCCAATAAGGGTTACCGACTCACAGTGCCCTTGTGGAAGCGTTACTCCGCTGAAGGTAACGGTGTACTCAAACGGGGTAAAACGCGTAACTCTTTTGCATTTAAGCTCCCACGTACACCATAGAGAGTGCAAACACTATTAACTCTGCCACGGATAGTATTTTACTCCGTAGGGGTTTATTTATTCTTACAGTGTACACATGTACATACTCTAAAATGACATTTACATTGATTTAATTAATGCTTCACAATTTTCATAACGTCTCTAACGCTGGGTTTATTATTTTGTTAGATATTCCAGCAAGCAAGCATTAATTCGTATTTGGAGTAAAATTAGAACTTTTTGCTAAGTATACTACGTAAATATTTACTTCATATTAAGAGTTATCACTCGCTTAACTCACATATTGTCTTCTGCCAAGTTTTGCTTCTCCAGCATCACACGGCCATTTTGCAAAGAGAAACTTGTGATTATACATTTCTTCTGTGTAAGGGGTTTAGCCCATACAGAAAAGAAACGCGTGGTTTGACCAAGGCTGTCGAATTACTGACCTTGTCAGACTTCTGGGAAAGAAATGGAATAAAAAGATCTTTCTCCAAGCAAATAAATAATACGTATTATCGTAGTTGTCCGGTTATCAGAATATAGTCTGATAAAGGGCGTGAGACGAGCTTATTCGCTAGTCCATGTGCACGATCAAATAATCGCATCATGTCTACATTTATATACGGCACAGGATCAACTTTTTCGAATTTCGCATCGCCGACACGGTCAAGGCGGTCAAAATGGCTTGAAAAGGCATTGATGATCATGATCCCATTTTTACAGAACGGCTACAACCGTCGATACAAAATATTTGACGTTTTCTACTTACCGGAAATGGGGAACATAGAATTTGGAAGACCTGAATCGTTCCCAAGTTAGATCGTGCCAAGAGCATGAACAGAGTGACGGAGTCAGCGTATACATAAGACCAAACGGTTTTCATACATTTATGACTCGATTACAAAGGTTACTGAATGGTAGCGATAAGGTAATTAACTCATATAATCTTATACATACCTTATGCAATTACGCAACGACAACTTGAATGTGAAAAATTGACTGAATTGAACTTGACAACTGATAACGATAATTTGTATAACAATTGATTGCCACGTATGCATAATCAATTCTCAAAACCTACTGGAAGCATACGTACGTTTCCAACAAACAGAGCAGGATGCTGGTTTTCAAGGAACTCACCGCTTTAAGCGTTCTATCGCTTTTAGCATTATTTGGAACTGTGGCGCCAACTACGGTTGAGAAACGTGAGCGCAAAAATACAAATTATTATAATCAGGATATTCATATTTGGAGGAAAAGTGCTTACATAATGTGTCAATTTATGTACAGGAAGCAAGCAAGATTTGCAACAAATCCCGAATAAATTGCGACTTAAAGATGGTCGAGAACTCGTCCCGGTTGTGATAGTTGAGGGCAAAGAATACTTTGTGGACTCGGGATATAGGGTAATTTATACATTTTGGGTAAAAATCCTGGTAAAAAGTTTTTTTTCTAAGAACATAAGCTGGACAGATGCCGTCGCTTATTGCGCTTCCTTCAACATGTCCATTGGGGAAACTGTTACAGCTCATCAATACCAACAAGTGTACTTGTTTGTTCCACTGTGTAAAACTAACATTCGCAAATTTACACATATTCATTCCAATATATCAATTAACCAAATCTTGTGTTTTCCATAGTTTACAACTTTTGGTTAGGAGGAACCAACGCTTTCTCTGGAACGAATGAGTGGTTCTGGCGAACTGACCGAGTTCCGTTTAACTATACTCGATGGGGAGCTACACAACCGAATTCTAGAAATAGTTGTATGTATTTCATTGAAGAGCTCCAAATTTGGTGGAGCATTGATTGCTTGGATCATACTGGAGAACCGGAGGAAATTTATGTTTTGTGTCAGAGACCGGTAGTCAGCAAGTAACAGGGATGCAAGGACATGATAAGCCATAAAATTTAAAATTTAAAATTCAAAATATCTCCTATTTATGTGTAATATTGGTCAAATAAAGTTGCATGAATTCTGGCAAGAAATCCTAGATGGTTTTTTACTTGTCACCTTGTGATTTATTTATTGTTATTGTAAACGCCAATTTTATTAGAAATTGTTGCCTCCCCAAAGTAAATGGAAGGTGTTGCTTGGGGCAAGGTCAATTCTTGGATTAAATACTGTCTTACTTGCAGCTGTCGGCGTTAGAACCTTATCAATAATACGATTCGGTCTAAGATCCATGACCTTAAGGCTTATTCCATTCGGTATTTTTTGTAATTTGGTACTTTATAGATTTACACAATGCTATATTTTCCTATTTTTGTGTTATACGTCATTCTGATACTCTGGAATTTTTAGTATGTACTTATTACCAAATTGTAAACAATCATTTATTCATTCAAATACTAGTTCAATTCTCATATTGTAATACTTTGTGCCCACGTATTAAGATCAATACAACAGCATTGAGCAATAGAATTGCGATTTCTATTCTAGCGTCTACTTATTTTGATATTCTTTGACAAGAAATTCTGCCGGTCATGGCCTAATGTCAGTAAAGTCACTCTAGTGAAGCTAATGAACAATGATTTGTAGTTTCATTTAATTAATGGTGATTTAAATTTGTATTGAAAGACCACACATACCAAGTTCTAAGTGTCGGAAGGTTATTTCGAACATTTGTGTCATGAGGCCTATATACCCACACCACAATTAGATATGACCTAAAGCGGTCCAAATCTATTCGGTTGCATGATATGTCTGCATAAATTATCATGGTCATATATCCATGCTGGGCTTTCAGCGGATCGGATTGGACGCCTTGATCACGTTTAAGTATTTGATGTGATCTCATTTATTTTCGTCAAATAAATATTTATTGCTTTCCTTGTAATCATTTAGAATTCTGAGAAACCGTTGTAAGCCGTATATAAATAATTCGATTGGTGATAATGTATGACATGAATTAAATGTACGAATGTATAACAGAAGCTTTATTCTACGCTTGCATGATGTATATATTTATCGCCCCGTGTACAGAATGTACACAACAAGATAATGGGGCACTTCACGTCAAAGTTCGTAACCTGCGTAACTGCGTTACGTTTGTAAACTTACAAACTTTTACACACATTTCTAGGGAAAATAAGCTTACGAACTCTTACGAAACTTACGCACTTCAAAGGCATGTTTTTCGTTCGTAAATAAAAGTTCGTAAACTATTTGGGTGATTGATATTTGCATTTCGATTTCATCACCATGACAACAAAGAATTTCTTTGTTTTCTTCTTTATTTGTTGTATTGCTAAATAAAATTATTATGGTTTGAAAAAAAAATTTCTTTGCATTCCACCAAAACAGGAAAAAAATACAGAGAGATGTTTACGAAAATTTTTACAAAGTCAATTCACGTCAAACCTGTGTAAATTTACAAACGATACGCAGTTACGCAGGTTACAAACTTGACGTGAAATGCACCAATGATTAGGTCAATCAATATGAGATCTGTTTATATTTCAGGCTGGTGAGCAGTAGCGTAACGAGGATTGGGGTATAGGGGGCTCAGCTTGAAAAATGAGCATAATTTTGGTCATCTTTAAACTTTAAATACATACAAGCTTAAAAAAGAAATATATAAGTTCCAATATAAATAATTACGTTAAATTCTATACAAATTACTTATGTTATAACTTTAAAATTTCTTTTTTTGTTAGCTTAGAATGCATATTAAACATTGGATTTTCTAAGTCATGGGAAGGGCTCAAGCATCCTAGCCCCACCTGTGGCTACGCTTCTGCTGGTGAGTAAGACGTATCAGGTTTGATGGACTTTATATTGAATAAACGTGGGGTGAAACTGCACCTGTGTTGCTGTCAATGACTCGTGTAACTTTTTACCTTTTTTACGAGTAACGTTTCAAAGTTTTAATTCTACTAATTTTGACACATCAACAGTGGACCTGTATCTAGAAGATATCCAGCAATTATCCTACGCGTTATCAAACAATACTCTATTTAATATTGTGGGATAGTCATAACACGTTAAAAACTTTCTTGATTACCCATAATATTTGATTGCAATTTGTGTGAAAGTTAAATTTTGAGCTTTGACTATGTCCACACGATGATCATGAAAATGACGGCTATTTTTAGCCGTCATTTCATACCTTTTAAAAATTACATGTCGATATCCGAAAACAAAATTGGTAAAAGTTCCGTCGAAAGTTATACTGCTTACGGACTGACGGACAAGATGCAGAAATAAGAGGATTTCACCCCTTAGTGCTTGGCCTGAATTTGATGAAATACGCATGACTATCCATAAGATATAAATATACCAAAATTATCTTGTTTCTGACCTTTTTTATCCAAACCTTCATATAAATGGATACACGAAAAAATCGGGTTATATTTACTTAACCTGCATAATAGAATTACAATCCTGATTGGAATGTGTTCTGTGAATACTAAACATATTCATATTTACTTATTTTATTTCAGTTCTTAGATATTTATCACTCCAAATCAAAACTTTGGTAAAAAAGCTTCGTCCCCTAGTTGCAATTGGTATTACTTACTTACAAAGGAGGTCATCATACATTGATCTCGATGAATATTTTTAAAAAATACGCAATTTCATTCGAGAAAATTAAAAACGAAAACATGAAACATGAGCTGGCAACTGGTCTCAATAAATATTGGCAATTAGTGTTTGACTATGATAATGCTTGATTATTTACAAAACGTATTAGCATGATAGCGCAGTAAAGTAAGTTGATGGAATGCAATTCAACATTACCAAAATTAATTAAATTTATAACTAAAGAGATACAATTTTATGCTTGGTGTCTACAATTAAATAGCAATCGGGATAAGCGAATGTAAAACCAAGTTAGCGAGGCGAGAAAATCGTTGACCTGCGAATTGGATGAACGGAGTGAAAGAATTTTCTGGCCTTCCGCACGGTAAAAATCATGCATTTTTGCAAACTTTAAGCTCTCGTATCTGACTTAAAATTGCGCATTTAAGATAACATGCGAACCAAGAGTTGGTAAAGTTGACATGTAATATCAAATTATAGTGGTACCATCTAAATCGGAGTGTAGCCGTTTACACCTTCGCATTTTTAGAAGTTGCTTCTACTGCGTAGAAGCAACTTTTATCAGATATACATACATACGTAAGTCCACAAAAAAGGACGATATAATTTATAAAAATTATGCAAAAATTATTATGCAAATTTTTTGCTGGGAAATACACAGCTTGCGTAAACTACTGAATACTATGTATTTTAGCGTGACACAAACATTATACATAACACATCCGGCATGGTACAATTTCCAACGATTAAATAAATTACAAAAAAATACACTGTGCTTAAAATTAAAAGCGACTGCTTTATAACAAACAATATAGCAAAAGGAATGTATGCATTATGAGCAGGAAATCAAGAAAATCATTCTAATCAAGTCAATTAATAAATACAGATGCATATGAATTTTAAGTTATAGATACATACATATATCACCAATTAATAATTAACAACTTGTAAGATACGTACACATATTTTCCACTACATTCCCAAAAATGTTGCCATTACAAAAGTTGTAAAAAGAAAAAAGAAGCAAAAAGTTTACGACCCTGCCAGGACTCGAACCTGGAATCCCCTGATTCGTAGTCAGATGCCTTATCCATTGGGCCACAGGGCCTTGTTGCAACACCCGTTATAACTTTCTTGATCTTGACTCGCGTGTATACATACTAGAGCTCCAAACGAAACCGAAATGAAACGTCCGATATTGAAATTTCGAAACGAAATATAAATTGGACGTTGTTTCGTTCGTTTCGTGCGAAAGAAAATATTTCGTTCCTACTTATTTACTTCATATTTTCCCGTTCATGCTTTATTTTCGCTAATCCAACACATTTCCGTTACAAAATTATCTTACTCAATTTTCAGGAGAAAATCATGTTATAAACAATTTAACTTTTACTAAGCAACCTGTCACACTATGTATCATAATTGGGTTAGTGTTTTACTATTAGTGTGACAATTCAAATTTGTTAAGTATGGTAAGTTCAAGCTTTGTGTAGTGAACACGGCTTTTGTATACATGAGTCGATACAATCAATGAGTCGATACAATCAATGGCCATAAGAAACCACGGTCTGAAATGTCATTTTACTCCAAAAGGAGATGATCCACTGTCACCAATGCTAATAGACTATCCAGTCTTGAGGTGTATCACAATACAAAAATGGTGTAATCATATTAAATATACTCAACGCCCATATCTAATTATGGGTACCAAGACTTCAACAATCGCTTCTTGAATCATATACGGACAAGTTCATAATCCAATCGTAATACATAATTATTTAAATATAGAAATACATTGTCACATTAGCCAAAAGTGTCAATTAGCACTTTCAATCGGAAAATAAGAATATATAATAAAATAATTGTATTTCCGAATTATTTCGTTGGTTTCGAAACGAAATGCAGTGGTGGTTTCGTTTCGATCTCGTTTCGGGAATTGGCATTTCGTTTCGAAGTACTGAAACGAAATCCGCCCATCTTCGAAACGAAACGAAATTATCCAAGTCTCGTTTCGTTCGGAGCACTCCTACATACCGTATGTACATACATACTGTAAAGCGTGAAGATTTGTATGACCTTCGTAGATACATACATGCATCTCTCGGTCAGTGCTTTAATCACTCAAATTCGCACTGTACATCTGCCTCTCTTTAATTAAGGTATTTGTGTTACATGCAATCTTTGATAAGCTCTCTCACTTCATTAGTAAAGAATTCCATATTAGACAAGGTAAAATGTTTGTCATCCCACTATTAAATCTTGATGAAGTTTAATAAGTAGGTGCTTATCCCTATTATATGCCAAGGAACGAGACCAAGGAAGTCAGTACGCTACGGAACCCCGACATCGCTCTATCAATTTTAAAATGAATAAAAAGCTACTCACAACAATATCACTTGTCTGACTCACACATATTTCGACCACACTTCCTCACATCACAATACAAACTAAAATCATCAAAATGCAGTTCGTTACAATACGTACCGTCCGAGAGGGCACATCGACATTTTTTTACTTATGTACTCGAACTATATACGTAAATATGCTAGTTTTCAAGAACATTAAGTACATCATTGCGAAACCACTATGGTTTTCTGTAAAACAATATGTAAAACTATGATGACAATATAATTTGTTATAAAATTAGTCTGCATCTTAATGATCACTGACTCATTTACTTAACAATAACTTAGCAATCCTTTCATTATTATTTGCGTGTGGCCATGATCATTTATGTGTCTACTCGGCTATTTTCTTGTTTCGAGATTTTTCTCTTTCTGCAGATTGTCTCAGCCAAGAGGCAATATGACCATTAATTTTTGCATCGGTTAATCCTACGTCTGAACTTCCAGCTTTAATTGCATCTGAAAAATTATTTTAATATTTATATAATAAGGATTAAAATCTAAAACTTAACGTAATGACGGAAAATTTATCACTTCTTAAATTTTGAGTATCTCGGATTAGCTGGGCGATTAGCTTATCGCCAAACGAAGTCTTTCCACTTTTATTGGTAAAACGTAAATTTAACGCGAGTTCGTGGGCTATCGTCCATTGCAACGTGTTATAGACACATTTACTTTCCGATGTCCCACCGATTTTTGACAATGCCAACACCTACCGAAAAATTAATATAAATTAAAACCAACGCTTGAAATACTAAGACGGTTGCTATTTTCATCTCATGACCTACGCTAACCTCATGTTGATAGTGCCGCTCATCCTGCTGCAGCCACAGTTCAACTTTATTCATTTCCTGTTCCGTTTTAAGGGGCCAAATCCAACTGCGAGAAACAACATCGGCGTCATTCTTATTTTGGAGGGAAGTTAACAACAGACTTTCTATCGTTTCCATCCTCCCTAGCAAAACTGACTGGTTTCGTAAACATTCCAGTTCGAAGGCTGAAAGTTTTGCAAAAAAAGCTATTGCAAAAAATTGTAAACACAATCATTACATATTTCATAATTTAACATGCACACATATTTACGTGAATAGTCTGCAGTATGATCAACATGAATTGTGAATCGTTCGCCTTCAGTGGTATTATTAGCATCGTCATCGTTATTTACGTCGATCGCGTAATCCTCGACTTTGACAATTTCTAAGTTTGTAACTTCTTCAACAATTGTAGCAGCGGAATTATTTGTTGTTATTAAGTCCGTATTTTGTGTTACGTTAATAACTTCCTCTTCAATTTCGCTTTCATCTGTGGTACAACTTTCTCCTACTTCGTGCCTGCTTGTTCCTCCAGATTTAGTCTTTCTCCTGGCTCGTTTGCCTATTTTACACAACAATTGACTAATATTGCAAAGAGAACATTACTACAAATAAATGGTTAAAATATGTATAAGAAAATATCACGTTTTCTTTGAGGAGATCCCGGATTTCCGGAGGTAGTTGATATCCTATCAGCAACCTTAGTACTACCCAAAATACCTATAAAATAAAAAAACAAGTCAAATACAAAGGCATAAAAAAACTTAATGGACAAATTTATGGTCCAAGTATCTGTAAATAAGGTATTTCATATTTATCACAATTTTTCTATTTAATCACAATTATTTATTTTAGCAGGGTTAATGCGATGAGCAATTAATGAACTCGTGTAAAATTCATGTACACAATAATTCGTTGACAATAAAACAAGTAAAATGGTGAAATTAATTGATTAAATGAATACATAGCTATTAAATCTTCATTCCATAAAAATATTTTTTAAATTTAAATATAGTTTCAAACTCTGACTAATTTCGGTAATTAATAATTAATATTTACATTCGCACCGGATCAGTAAGTATTTCATAAATTATGTAACATATTTAAGAACAAATTATTAAAATAGTAATTTACCAAAATCCATAACTTCTGAGAAATGTATCCATTTTGCAATTTGTGTGACGACCTGTTCCAATTTTTCGACACGGTGAAGAAGTCCCTCCATGTCGGGGAACAATTTACTTCTTACCAAATTTCGGTACTAGATATTTACCAAAACGATACACGAAATAACGTATGATTAATTACTTAATTGTGCAAGCTTGTTAAAAAATAATCTCGAGATGACACAAATAAACAAAAGTAAACTTGTACAAAAACGGTTACTGTGGGTACTGTGGGTGTGTCTAGGAAATTAAAATACTATTTAACTCACAATCTCTTTGGACACCAGGTAACCTTTGCAGCCAAATCGTCAGAATCATTAGTACGACCGCGAAGTAACATTTGGGAATTTTTCTAAGATAACCTGAGCATCTATTTTCGATGTGCAACAGATTCTACAATACTGATTCGAATTAAATGACTCATGAAATCCAGTTATTGTCAACACTTACAAGGAAGGACCTTCGACTGTTTCCCGCCCCCAGGGTTCCCAGTATACTTTTTAAAATCTACTAGGGCCCTAGATTAAGGATCCATTCATATTTCCGTGTAAAACTCATATTTGGCGCCGTGGTGTGGCGCCAAATTCGCCAAATTCACTTAATTTTATTTTTTCAACCGCCATAACTTTTGAAATATTCGGTGGATTTTCAAAAAATTTGCAGGAAAATGATCACAAAGAGTTAGATTTTCAACAAAAAAATTAAAATACATTTTTACAATTTTTTTGAAAATTTTCGAAATTTCGCGAATCAAGTGATCGGGCGAAAAATGACTTTCTTGATCATTTTAAACCAAAAATTATGAAAATCCCGCTAAAACTGCAAAAGTTATGAAGGCTTGAAATTAGTCGAAAATCCAGCCTTAAAAGTTTGGCGCCACGCCACGGCGCCAACTATGAGTTTTACACGGAAATATGAATGGATCCTTAATCTAGAGCCCCAGTAGATTCTAAAAAGTATACTGGGTACCCTGGGGGCGGGAAACAGTCGGCGACCATTCCTTGTTAGTGGATTAATGAACTTCATGCAGATTTACATGAACTTGATAGTGTTAGGGTTAATTATGACCTCTCCTTGTCTAATCAAATATATAGTAATTTATAAATTAAACATTTCTATCGCACACAGTTGTCCAATTTCCGCTAAATCATGCATTTCATTCAATTTAGAATTTAAAGCAAGTTAATATGGATAAGCGTCGTTAGGATTTTCCATCTCTTTCACTACATCAATTTTATAATTTCATGAATAATTTAACACAAAACATTTGTCAAGTCTGCCAAATAATTTAATCTTAATTATAAATTTATAGTCAAGGTTAAATCCCGAGAATGAAACATATGAAATGAAATGTAGATATTTAATAAGTATGTATGGCTTACATACGTCATTAAGATAACAAATGATCCGTCTGCCAGAACGAATATTTGGTGAATGTTACAAAAATTAAATAAAAATACTTTAAACTTTAAACTAAAATCCGGCACGTAGAAGCCATATCGAGTTCCTATCAATTCTAAATACTCGTCATATTTTTGGACACATAGTTCTGATCATACCTGTAATTATGTAAATATTTATGTACAAAGACCGAAACATGTGCTAAAACTAGTTTATCTAATTCCAGCTTAAATAATGTAGCTGTCCAGAGTAAAGCGGATTTACAAAATTTGCACCAGAATAAAAAAATATGCTACGTTTCGATTATCATAATTGTGAATGAAATTCATAAAATATAAAAAGATTGTGCAGCTCAAATTTGACATTGTATTACAAATTTGGAATTACTACTTTGTACTCTACTTCATCACTTTATATGCCAATAGTTTCCCGTAAGTTTTATCCGAAATTGAATAAAAATATAATTAAATTGATTGCCAATTCACTCCTGGTACATATTTAACTCTAAAATTGTAAAAACTGATAACATTTGTAATGCAAAAATACCTAGGAATATGTGATAATTCTCGCCCAATTAATTTTTTAATTTACAACAATTTTAGAAAATGCGACTATGTATCCTCTTTTCCTTTGTGTTCGTAGTCGTGGATGGGAGGAAATTGCAAAATCAGCAAAGTTATAGATGTATAACGGTTTATGGAAGCGATGTAAGGATGCAAAATTGTCAAGGGGGCCCTTTTCAAGATTGGATTATTGAGGAGGACGGAACAATCAGAAACTCAGGGTCAAATTCATGTCTATATTTTAATAATGGGCCTGCAAATGCGAGAATAACGTTGCAGCCATGTACTTATAATCGGGACGGGATGCAGTGGACCCTAGTTGATGGAGTTTTAAAGAATTTGCGGTATAATTGGTGTGCCAGACCAAATACGGCGTCTAACAATGGAATCTGCCTAGGTAGCTGTACCACTGGAGATATACGGCAAAACTGGGGGGAGGATGAGACAGAAGAAGAAAAGGAGATCGTGTTTCCATAAGGTTTAACTATAGCTTTGTAAAAGAAGAAGATCATCACTATCTAGAAAACCAAAAATTAGATATATGTATATGTATATTAATTAGCGAAGAAATAACTTACTCGTATTTTGGTGGCAGAATCTGGGAAATAAATTATCTTTAACAATTAGCGCATATTTATTTTAACTGAGTTGCATTATTTCGTGAATTTGTTTCGAGTATTATAGTTTGTACTTTAAAAGAACAGTTTTTTTGTTCGCACTGCTTACGGCACGAATGCGAATTCTGTGTTTTCAAACTACAAGCCATTTAAATACTAGTTACATGTTAGAAATTTTATGTTCCTGCAAACTTAGAGAATGTTCTAGATGAAGATAAATAATATGTATATAAATAAATAAATATTGTTGTGGAGAGAAGTCATATGTTATTTAAATATAAAAATAATTGAATAGCGAAATCATTTTCGCACCTCCTAAACATATGTTAAATGCCTCCTAAATAATATACAAGTAGCCTCCATGCAAAAAGCCTCTTAAATTAATAAAACATGCCTCCCAAATATCTACATTTGCCTCCAATTTGATTGTTTTATGTAAATCAATTTCTGATCTTTTTCCCTTCTCTTGGGCCCCCACATATGCTCAATTCTGCCTCGAAGCATGCAAAATTCTCCTGAATTGACCAAGGTTGTCTTTGTTTTCATGTCAATTCTACCTAGTCCCTGCATAAGTTCTGTTATGTGTTCAAATCGTTATATCAGATAAAGTTGACAGAATTTTGTAAAAATAATTTTATCACAAGAAAGGCCATGAAATTCTTTGTAAGCTATGCTGAATATTTTTTTTTAAATTATCCCCCATAGCGTCCAGACAAGCATTGAATATGTGCATGGATTTCACGCTTGTGGTACGCGTTCGTTCAAGCAAAAAAGTATATTGTTTTCAGTGCGTCATAATTTCACAGTTGCAGGTTGGTAAATTATGGAATATGTTTCCCCTGGGTCTCTTATATCACAGAAAATATACAATATTTTTATCAGGCATACCATCCGACTTTTAGAATTATTTGAGTGACATAAAATATATCCAAACACGTAATACCAATGTATAAAACTGATTTAATCTTCCAGTTTATCTGACAGTATATATATATTTTATGGTTAGCAATTTAATATACAAAGGCCCAGGTTTCCTTATCTACGTGGGCATCAGCCGCACAATCATCTCCGTATGACACTTTCTCCACAGGATTATGATTCGCATATGGGCCAAATATTTTCGTGATATCTTCTACATAAGGGCGACAAGCAGTGGGAACAAACTCCGTAAATTTCTCCAACTCCATGGCGACATTACGTTGCAACGTTTTCGGATACCAATTAGGGTACTGTGGGTACTGACAACCTGGGAACGGTGGTGCAGGTTCAGGTGCAGGTCCCGACGGTGCCGGGGGTGGGTAATGTGATGGCGGTGGCGGCGCTGGCGTGGGTCCTGTTATTGATGGCGGTTCCGGTGGTATTGTCCTAGACAACGCTTTTTCTAGTTCCCACTCATCCGGAGTCGATACTTTGTCGCCTGTCAGCATTTCTGTCGAACAGACGCGCAAGCTGGAGAGATCAAATTGACTCTCACCCCGTAGTCCTACATTGACAAGGGTGTTGTACACTGTTGTGGCTGAGATAATGTGCGAAATGAATGGAACGCATCGATGACCACAACAGTCGGAATGCCTCAGGCAGAACGGGGTTCTTTCCACGCAGCTTGTGCTATTTTCCTGATTAAATGAATTACGCAATATTTACTCGCAAAGAATGCATAGGAATCACAAATTTGTAAAGGTCACGGTTTCCCACGTTTGACGGAGATATTGGAATCCAAAAAGAAGAAAACGCATAATAAGTTTGGAATATATGTGCAAAAATGGTGAACATGCAGGGACGTTTTCCCCTCTTCTGGTGCAAATATCTCTTCCAAACCTTAGAATTGGGAGATCATGCATTTTTTAAATGTCGTCATTGCATTTATTTACAATTACAGAGGGTTATTAAGTTGTATAGTCCGAGTATCGAATTGTCCATATATAAGAAACTTTGGCGCCTACTAGAAATATTTTAAATTAATACCAAATTTTAATTCAAATCGAACAAGTATCCATTTACTCCATTTCAAAATTTTGTAAAATGGGTCCGAAAATTTAAGGTTAGTCACTCGGATTATACAACTTAATAACCCTCAGTTATACAATATTCGCAAAAATTTGCTTGCTACTGAAGGGACACCTTAATTGCAAGTCAGGATTTATTAATTACCGTAATAGTCTGCATTTCCGTGAATTTACAAGCTGCTTCGAAAAATGTGAGGACTGCGAAAAGGTGGGCGAAATTCATGTCGCTAGTAAATTCAACTAAGTGATTGGGTGGGTTTGCCGTGGTCCACGGCACGATTGTTAAACAGGACAATGTCGAGTTGCTTGCCGTTTCTAAAGTAGGTGTTTGTTTATTTATACGCGAATCTGCCCAGACTAGACAAACATGCGTGGAATTGGTGACAATATATACAATCGCCAATTAAGTGCTTCGGGTACATTTTATGTGCCCCACTTTTGTGGAATATTACTTGGCATCTTTATTATCGGAATGTGTGGTATCTACATTTTATTGATCATCAGCCGCCTCACACCTCACACCACACTTTTCCTCATATTTATTTATTTATGCTTCCGGGTGGGTAGTAAAGTCCAACAAATTAACCTGGATTATAACTCTCAAAAGAACAATATATCTATGTACCTGAAATTACAGTTTTTGGCATATATTACCCTTTCAGAAATAAATGTCACCATTTCTATATCCGAACCTAGTGCAACATGTCGACTCTTTATTTTCTAGCATTTTTTCTCTTCATTTACTCCACAAATGGTTCCATTTTCGCCGAAACGATCCAAATCACTAGCCCTACGTTGCCCAATCCCTCCACAGACGGATCCCTTTTTTCCGAAAGGCTCCAAAACACCAACGTCACGGCGCCAAATCCGGACCTAATATTTTTTAACCGTGTCCCCAAAGTAGGGAGCACCATGATGATGAATCTCCTAAGAAGACTGTCGATCCGGAATGGGTTCGCCTTCTTCCAAGACGCCGCCCACCCAGGGATGCAGGCCAGGCTCAATTGTGCCCAAGAAGCTGACCTTACTCACCTCCTCTGCCAGCTGCCTAAACAACCTCCCAGCGTGTACATTAAGCACGTCGCTATGGTAAACTTCACACGTGGGGGAGTGGGTGGATGTAATCATGTCGTGTACATCAACATGGTGAGGGATCCTGTAGAGCGGATGATTTCATGGTATTACTACATCAGATTGAACGGGACCAGAAATTTTGCCGCCAGGATGAAGAAGGCCCACCAAAAGGAGGACGACACGTGGTTGCAGAGGGTACTGTGCTATAAGAAATGAGCAAATTCCATGACGAAAATGTAATAAATACGGCACTAGAAATTTTTTAGGATTTTTCCACCTGTGTTCTCCAAAATTATGACGAGTGTCGATTTGAGGGACATGAAAATGTGTGGAGTCAAATGATGTTCTTTTGTGGAATGGATAGACGGTGCAAGTAAGAATTTTTTTCAATTTTTAAGACGTTTATTTACTCATGAGGATACGTTAAGTTTCTCATATTTGTCCTGCTCTCAAAAATTGTGTTACCTTTTTGAAGTATGTAAATGTAATTATCAATTTTAAGTGTACTAAATCCAACGTAAACTTTAATCGTGAACTTTAGTCTGGGCTACAAATAGTTTACTCAATTTACTATCGATTTTATATTGAGAATTGTAAATATGTACCATTACCTTGAACAGTCTAGGGAAATGATTTTGTAAACTTACTTGTAAAATTTACATTTTGCATAACTCGAAATAACGAAATGTAATTTTTAAAATTATGTACAATTTGAAAATTTTTGAGTGATTGTATAAATTTCCTTTAGCGAGAAGAACGGTGCTTGGGCAGGGCTATGGAAAATGTGGACAAATATTATTCCGTTGTCGGTGTACTGGAAGAACTCGATCTTAGCCTGGAAGTTTTTGAGAGCTACATTCCCCTCGTATTTGCCGGTGCGAGGGAAACTTACTTCAAAGACAAGGACACAATGGTCTCAATTAATAAAAATCTAGAGAAACCCAGCACTCCCAAAGAGATTAAACAGTTCGTCCGTGACGAGTTGGGAAATGAGGTCAAGTTCTATGAATTTTGCAAACAAAGATTGTACCGACAGGCAAAATTTGCGAGACAAATGGTCTCATGAAATAAGCAAGTTTTACTAATTAATTGATTTCGAAGTGAAGATGAGACGTAAATAAGAATTAGGGTGTCAAAAGTATACTTTTGACACCCTAATTATTGCATATATGCAATAATTTATACACTCAATTGGGGTAACTGCACAAATTTCAATCTTCATATGATTTAACTACTTTAATAAATTTGTGATTTGATGAGTCTCACCTAAACTCAGTTTTAACAAGCCTAAAGGATTTTCGTCTCACACTACGCAAATGAAAATTTATAAAATATAATAAAGTACTTTTAAAAATTGATTTCAAAAATGTAACACATTTGCTCTTTAATGATAAAAAATACAAAAAAATTCCATAGAAATATAAAAAATTTAAAAGTTCATAAAATAAAATACGATTAGTTTTAAAACATAATGATTTGAAACAAGTTAGTCAATTGATTTGTACCGACATTCTAACAATTATAAAGTATATTAATCCTGTAAATGTCACTCCAATTGAGGCCAGGCTTTCCCCGTGGGTCGTAAATTGGCCGGCCATCCTTGCTTTTCATCGTCGGGCTAATCCCGTCCTTTGAAAAGGCCGTCTCTCCGTAGTGCATGATGCTGTTGATGTCATACCCATTAATCATCCATTCTTGTGATGCAGGCGTTTTCACAAATAGTCGTTCCGATCCTAAAAAATGCGCTAAAATATTTTACCATGGAAACGCGTGCGGTGAACATATAACAGATATGTTTAGAAGAGTGATTTTAATTTGATTTTCAACAAAAATAACTTAAAAAATACAAATGTTCTAATGTCGTTAGTTTGCACTGGTGTTTGTCCGTCTCTGAATTCAGAATTTTTAAATTTGGAGTCTTTGATTTTTTTAGAAGTAGCAAGCTCGTTTGGTGATTTTGAGAAACTTCACCCTTGGGAGAGACACACTCTTAGCAAAACGGTTTCAATATGTGACTTGGTTACAATGTTGACATTGCACGGAAAAAGGTATATGCAAATGGCTAAGAACTTGTAAGAATCGGATAGAAAATCAATTCCGCTCGGTGTCAATATTGTAATCAAGTCACATATTGACACAGACGGTGTTGATTGGATAAAATTTTATTTAGTGTGCAACTTTTGACCCTGAAATTTTCACCTTCTGCGTGACGTTAATTCCTGAGGTATGACTAAAAAAGGAGTTCCCATCGAAAATAGTCTGGACGATTTTTTCTATCAAAGTTTATCCGAGTAACTTTTCAAGTGGGAATTTTGAGCTAAAATTTGAATTTTTTCTAAAAAGTTTGGTTTATAACCGAAAACATAGCCAGCACGCCGAATTTAAAAATGATGGTATAGTATGAAAAGTTAGAAAAGATTGCGGGGTGACATACATAATAGTAGATTCGAAAAAAATTGATTATCCTGCCTAGGGCGACGATTTGGACGGGATTCAAATAAATAAATAAATACATAACTGTATGGACATTCCCTCAAAATACAAATTATTTATGCTTCACCTTTCTGTACATTTTCCCATATAATGTCGATATACTCGTCCCTGTCGATCCTATTGTGCTCATGGTGGAAACCGATGGAGTGACCCAGCTCGTGCACCACAGTTCCGATGAAGAGACAACCCCGCCCCAACTGCAATATTTGCCTTCCCCGTCGCAAATTCCCCACAAAAGTTGAACACCCAGCCGTACCTTGTTCGATGTAAAGGTAGTTCACCTCCGTCGTCCGAGGTACAAATTTCACACAAGTGAAATCCTGATATTGTTGCATAGCGGCCATGACGAGGGGTCTGTGCTGTTCTATGTAAGTTAATTTTGATTAAAGTTTAAGAAATTTTAAAATTTATTTTAAACTTGTATTTTTGTAACTGAAAAGTGTCTATTACCAAAAAAATTGTGAATTTCAAAGTTTATGTTAATTTTTATTTTAAAATTATTAAAATTTATTAAATTTACTGAAAAGGTCATCAATTTCGTACGGAATAATGCCACCATCCCAAAGTCGTTGTGCCGAGGTTATGGCACCTTTTAAAGTCTCATTAGTGAAAAAATCGTCACCATAAAATAACATATCTCCGACTTGAACAATTTTTTCTTCTAGAATTGACAATTCAATTGCACTTCATTTGCTGAAATTTACTCAAGTTTTAAAAATTAAATTAATTCTTGAAATACCAGCATTCCTTTTTCCACAAGTTTTCCCAATTTTCTCACACGGAGAATCCAGCCCTGTACTCCGTATAAGCTTCTCACTTAATAAGACCGAAATTATTATTGGGATCAGGAACATGTTTTTATTTTCGGCGTTTAATTCTGTGTCCTGCACATATGTAACCATGCAGCTCCACGACTACAGAACAAACAAAGAAAAAGTAAAGGTACTTTTCACAGTAGCGATTGTACATAAAATATGTACAAGTGTATAAAAATTTGTGTATATAATTTACAAGGGATCCTTCCCAAGGTGTCCATCGAATTAAGGGTCGATACCTACACAAAAATGTGCGCAATACATTACTTTTTCGGTGAACTGAAGGAATTTCCGTGTAAAATTCACTTCTCGTCAAGTTGTGACGATGTTTGTGACGAGCGGTTGACCATCGAGTGCCGTGTGAGTGGAAGGAGTTCGATCCCTCCGCTCATTCTCTCTGTTTGTTTACATTTTTGACTTAAAAATTCAGCTTCAAAACCAAGAAATAATTTTATAACTTGTAGGTTTCAGAATTTCAAAAAAATTTGGAATTTTGACAAAAATTTTGATAAAATACCGAAATTTTGAATTTGAAGAAAAAAATTCCGTCCAAAACCATAAATTTTTCTAAATTTTATTTTTTTTAATTCTGATTCTTTTCAAATTTTCGATATTTCATCAAATTTTTGTCAAAATTTCAAATTTTTTTCAAATTCCGATACCTAAAAGTTATAAAATTATTTCTTGGTTTTGAAGCTCAATTTTTAAGTCAAAAATGAATTTTACACGGAAATTCCTTCAGTTCACCGAAAAAGTAATGTATTGTGCTTGTTTTGGTATAGGTGTCGACCCTTAACTCGATGGACACCTCGGAAGGTCCCCTTGTTAGTGTATATAAATTTATTGTAATTAAGCCATTGAACAAATTCCAGATAAATTAAGTCAAACCATGTCTGGCCCAGAAAACCGTGACATACATCCTTCCTTTTGTTATGAAACGTATTTACATATTGCTTTCAGCAAAAGTAAGCCAGGTTCAACAATGTATGTATGTATGCACTGGTAAACAGATGTATGTACCCAAAATGGCGTTCTAGGTAATTACTAAATGTAATCATTTGTGACAAGTATGAAGGTTAACAACCTCTAAATGCAGTCACTAAAGTTTACTCGAGTTCCATTCCTGCTGCCATGACACGGTTCTCACTTCCCTACACAACCGCCGAACATTAATAAAATTCTTGCCGCCGCCCATAGTGGCACCGGTGTTGACTTGTGGTACAGATATTATATTTGAATTTGCATCATAGACTCATGCACGATAGAGTCGAGTCGGTTATCCAACTTTTGGATAAGGTATTCATCCAAACCCAATCTGAATTTGTGTATTTTTTAAGTGAAAAATTCTGTTTCGTTTCGGTTGGAGGTTGCCATGTAATATGCAGACTCATTATGCTAGCTGAGGCGTAAATCAACACTGAACTTATCGCATCTATTCAGTAAGTACATAATTATGTCTCATTGTTGATATCGGAAAAAATATGAAGCAAATTTTGACCCCCCAAAGCAAAAAATCAAATTTTGTCTCAAAAGCCATTTTACTCCACTCAAATTATATAAATTGGATGGCTGATGCGATGCACCAATCCAATGGTGAGAATATTCTGTAGTTTACATATTTTACTGAACATGATCGCCCGTTTTATTACAGCATTAAATTCATTCACTGCTGCTTATAATGTAGTTTGATAATGTTCATACATATATGAGTACAAACGTATAATGTTGGACCTTATTATTCATGTTCCAATAAGTCAAAAGAGAAGTAAAATATTTACAAAATCCACACGTGGATTACAAAGTCCGACTAGATAATATGTAATTGGTGTGAGTGGGTACTACATAGTGAAACCATTAGCTGACTGTGTTCTGAACACGTGTCTACTTAAGTGTAAAGAGAAACTAATAAGACAAATGTCTAAGGCTAGAATGAAATATGTATTTCTAACGTCGTTGGTGAATTAAATAGATAATAGTGGGAATCAATTTTTCGACAAAACATTCCATAACGGTTGTTCAATACTGGTATTTTAAGAAGTTTAAAATTATTTTCTTTGAAACACATTTCTTCGTTAGAAATATCTAATGTACAACTTTCAAATGTTGCTTCATATGTTTATATACATGTATATATCTGATATATTCCTACAAACCGTATTAAAGAATGTATTTTAAATTAAGAGACAGTTATACGAAAACAATTATAGCTCCATCAATTTTTGTAGCAATTTAAAAACAATTGCATATGTTTATCAGCAAGGAGTAATGTCTTAAATAAAATTAGGGTCGCAGAACTGCCAGGCCCCCTTCGGTGACAAACTCGATTTATGTCTCAGAATTCTACGTGATTTTTCAACCTACGACTTTCACAACTTTTATGTTGACGTATTGCCACCTGTTTTAGAAATCTCTGGAAATATTTGACTTTTTTATTAACTTGCAATATCTGGAGTTGGATTATGTCCAGAATTATTTTATTGGACACAGTTTGCATAAATTGGAAGGAATTTCATTTTTTTTGTCCAAAATCAATATTTGAGTTTGGGCGTGGCTGGCGTCGCTGTACGACCAATGGAGGCATAAAGTTGTACATCGTCGGAAAACTTGAAGCCCTGTGTATAATCGAGGACATAGATCTTTGGAATATTTTCGTTTTTGAGAAAGCTACAAATAATATTACAGCCATACTTTTTGAGAACTTTGTAAAGCACAGTCACACTTTTTGTCTATTCTCATCTTTCAACCCAATGTTTTCTTAACTTATCCATAACCGATAAATCCATGGTATATGTCTATTGAAAGCAAATATATTGGGCTACTAAAAATACTTTTCTCTAAAAAATATGTCAACGCGAGTATCGCGAATTTTCGCACTTTGTCTCTTAATTTAAAATACATTCTTTAGTTTAGGGGAACTAGTAACATTTGGAAAATCTACATATATTCATGTAAATATTACGAGAAGTTTTAAAGATAGTATCTAACCACATACATAAATGTACGTGCAGAAAATAATTTCTACGAATTTCCAATAAATGTTTAATTCTTTCGTTTTATTGTTCTTAAAATAGAGAAATCTGGTCAAATTTCAAAATGCCCAAAATGCCCTACTTTCAAAATGCCGAGCAAATTCGACAAATGCTTATATGCCCTGGGCATCTGCATCAGCACAACTCGATTTGCACGTACCATAAATGAATGTTTTTGCACCAAATATTTTGCGCCCGACAGTTACTTATCACGTTATCAACACGAGTATAGCTCGCAGTTCGCACCGTACGTGGGAATAAATAACCATTGCATGTTTTTGGAATGAACACAAATTAAGAAGTATGTATGCAGATTCATATTTATCATGCTTCTCCCCGTGTTCGAGGTAAATTGTATATTGAAGTGGTGCTTATCCGAGGACAACGAGGGACACTACGTGCATGTGTACTATTTATAACATAATCAATCAATTTTGTTTTGATGAGAAGACAACCAACTTAACAAGTTTGGTTGAATTATTGCCATGTTATTTGCACACGAAGCATGTTTTGTAAGGTGGAGACTCCACCTTGGAGTGCAATATGAAGGGTTCGCAAACTATTTTTTGCAGTCTGCCTTATTTTTGGGCCGGTGAGGTATTTTTCATTATAAAAGTGCGTTAAGTACATGTATGTAAATGAGAGGTTCATTTATTACTCAGGTGATCATACATAAGCTGTAAGACAACTACAGTTTTCCTTAATTAAATACATATTTATGTATGTATGTAATTACTTGAAATACAAGCCAGTCAAGCTGGCTTATGAACAGCTGACTTATCTCCGGTGGCCACCACCACCAACCAATCGCCGTCACTAACGCATCCGTCGCCAACAGACATTTGCCCTTGGAAGACGAATGTAGATGTGAAGTTACATAAAATTTGTGATGAGCTAAAGATTTGGATATGAGCAAACCAGTATTTGTTAAAATGCGATATGCACGAAATAACCGCAAGATATTGTTTTATTGCATATATGCGCCATCTGGCGGAGAATCCCTAAAAGTATTTGTAGTTCAAGGGGTTAGCCGTCAGGTGGCGCCAAATTTCTCACATTCCTTCCATTTCAAAAAAGGCACAAGAAATCAAACACTGGCTCAAAATTTACTTTATTGCCGAGTAAATCTTACTTAGCAGATTTTACTTATTTTAGTTTAGAACAAATTTAGTTAGGATATCATATATTTATAGTCTCTTCTCTTTGGAACCCTCATATTCCAAATCTGCACTTCTATTGTGAACTTAGCTGATTAACGCTGTCACTCTTTACTCGACAGGAATGCCACGTTGGCCTAATTGCACTTACCACACGTATATAAAGCCGAGTATACATACGGGATGCTCCATCGTAACTTGCTCTTGCTCCGGGGAACCAGAATGACCTCATTTTCGACATTTTCCATAATCCTGGCTGCATTTTGCAGCGTTCAAAGTCAAAACTATCGCCAGGTGTTGGAAAAGTCGCTGCTCTTTTATGAAGGACAGCGGAGTGGAAGACTTCCCGCAAATAATCTCCCCTTGGAGGGGAGATTCCATGTTGGAGGATGGCGATGGTGACGTAGATTTGACTGGGGGATATTTCGACGGTGAGATATTTGTTAAACATGACTGGCTAAATTATAAAATGAGCTTCATAAGCCCATATTCGTGCTAGGATTATGGTTGTTAATATATATGTCATTTGTGGACATGTCATAAATGTCCAGTATGTCTGACATTTTGACACAAAAGCCGTCAGTATTTCTCAAAGTGTCAATATGTCGTAACATGTCATGACACATTGGCGTTGACATTTTGAACATTTTGGACATTTACAAAAATTCACAAAACTGCCCTCTAGTTGGAATGAAAATGGCTGGTTAGGAGTGGCAACTCCACTCTGTCCAACTGTTTTTCGAATATAAATAAACCACACTTTATTCCACTAAACAAATTAATTACAATGCCCATCAGATCAATTCTAGCCTAGTTTTTTAAGTCAAACTTTTTTGATAAAATATTTTTGTTGATTGATTTAATAGCTGGAGACCACGTAAAGTTCAATTTCCCCCAGGCCTGGGCCCTCTCGACGATTGCGATGCGCGAAAACAAAATCCCGCACGGATGCCAAGACATTAACAACCTTTTTAACTAACCCAGATCCGTACACGTCAATTATAAATCTTGGAATGAAACAATACCTTCTAACTGATTTAGTAACGCAATAAGATACACAAATGCTAGCGAGACCGTAAAGAAATCTAGGCAGGAGCGGGAACCCCCTGCAAAAAAGACTTATTGTCATGACGAATTTCGTACGTACCATTATTATCTTTAACATCATTATTAGATTGAGTTATACCAAAATAAATTAACAAAAAGACAAGAACTATGCCAGAAAACAAAATTAATCCATAAACAATTTCTTTGGAATACCTTCCTAAGAGTGTTCCTCGGTTTCGCATCTCATTTTGAATTTCTTGAATCCACTCAGTCCCAGAATTCTTCTGGATTGCAGTCATTAGTTCGGTTCTCGGCTCTGGGTCCCACCCATTCGACGAACACGTCCGGATTGAACCATGGATTACTTCACGACAAGGAATAATTCCGAATTGTTGGACGAATGCGGAATTAATTTTCCACCAGGTGTTATCCGACAGGTTGTCGCAGTGAGAAATGTAAAGGATTGTGGGAACTTTGTCGTTGAATAGGTATTGCCGTTCCTTTATGGACAAAGCGTCAAGGGCGGATGTAACACGGCCCTTTCTCAAAGTGTAGATTATGCAGGTGGGAATAGACGGGTTGAGGTTGGCCAAGGTTTCCTCAATGCGACCAATCTGCATTTCTTCAACGGTTTGGTTTTCGTCATGGTTACCCAACTCTAGAAGATTTTTTAGGCTAGTCGTCCCAGATTCTGGAGAGAGGTAGGATAAAATTAGACATAATTGGCAATTGTATGTTGGTATTAGTCAAGCAAGAAAAGTTTGTACGTCAAATTCGCATAACTCTCAATGCTTTATGATCTCTAATACAATTGTGTGAGCTGGTGGTTAATTACTCTTCGATGTTTTCCAAATATAAATAGTACGATACAATCTCTACAAATTATGACAAAAATCAAGATATCCTGACAGTTGTGGAAATTTGAGGTAAAGTTGTCTAAAAAAAACTTTGGCTCCCCAACATTTGGCTTTCGTCTCATCTCACGAGTAGTGAGATGAGATGAGATGAAAATAAAGTGTTGGGTGACAAAATAACAATTTTTAAATTATAATTTATTGTTGATATGTTAAAAAATAATCTTCACACATGTATTAAGATGCAAGTATTGTTTAGTTACTCTAATTATACAGAGTGTAGATGTGTATGTAGTAGAACCTTCAATAAAGACTTATCATAATTATTCATTTGTGAGGCTAATAGCACTATTGAATTATTCAAGTAATTGTAAGTTTACTGAAATACGATTAAATATCAACCCAAAAACCTTTATAAACTATCAATTACACAACTACTCCATCCAAATTATATATATCAATATAATTATTTTAAAGTTTAACAGAAAACCTACCATTTAAATAATTCAAGCATTAAAAGAATCCCAGGAGTGCATTTTGGTAGGTCGTTCACCTTACAACTTCCAGGACCTATAAAATACAGAATTTCCAAAAAGAAACCTTACAATCGGTTAAAGAATCAAACAAAAACTTCTTCCTTGCGGTTGTGGTTTTGGTGGATGAACCTTAACCCTGGCGCATGGACATGTTTCCTAATCCAAAATAAAATTTTCTCCCGTGTTTCTCTCCGCAGTCGGATAATTTCATCCCGCATATCCCCCGAGATTTTTTAGGCTAGTCGTCCCAGATTCTGGAGAGAGGTAGGATAAAATTAGACATAATTGGCAATTGTATGTTGGTATTAGTCAAGCAAGAAAAGTTTGTACGTCAAATTCGCATAACTCTCAATGCCTTATGATCTCTAATACAATTGTGTGAGCTGGTGGTTAATTACTCTTCGATGTTTTCCAAATATAAATAGTACGATACAATCTCTACAAATTATGACAAAAATCAAGATATCCTGACAGTTGTGGAAATTTGAGGTAAAGTTGTCTAAAAAAAACTTCTCCAAATTCTACATAAGGACTTACTTGGTAAACCGCAAACAAGGATGTGAATCATTCCGGGGAAATATAACGTTGACGTGTTTAAAGGAATAACTGTCTGCGGCCTTATTTATCAAAGGGATCGAGGAAACTGTAAATGTGAAATAGACATTCAAAAACAGACGTTGTCACAAATAATTTTGCCTAGTCGTTGTGATTAGGAAGAGATGTAAAGGATGGTTTGATGATTAGTTTTTTCTCAGTTGTGTAAAATGTGAGCGAATTGCAAGACGTCAATGAACCGTAAAATTGGCCGTTGTGAACATAAATAAGGGAATTGTTGGTGAGGACGGACACTTCTTATCATTTTGTGTACACTTACCCAGGTCACATATTTATTTATCTATTTGTATCCTAATCGGTTAAAAAGTATGTATGTATTTGACTATACCTGATTTGAGGAATGGTTGATGTCCCAGCAAACAATGCAAGTTATTCACCTATGGTGAACCTTTTCATAGCTTATCCATATGTACACAGACATATGTGAGTACACACAACATGCAAACTTCTCTCTTGTTTATTGAGAACAGGAATTGGTTACTTCCATGTAGATTGCGAAACGATTCTTGCAAATTATTATTTTGTCAGGTGGTATTTAACATAATATAAGCGGTTCTTTCCAGGTCGTAAATATGATTGCTTGTTAACCTAGTAATATTTAAGACAGAGTCACATTCAATCAAGAAAAAATTAGCTCGGAAGGCTTGAATTGTAAGTGTTTCGCACTTAATCCACATTCAAGTAACCAATCCCTGTCCACAATAAAAAAACATGAAAAGTTGTACATGCAAAAACTTGCAAAAACTGGGATATTTTTTAACGGATTGGGATACATATGTACATATTTACGTACGAATAAATAAATACTTACATATGTGGCATCGGCTAGAACATATAAATTGATAAACTATTTCTGTCCTCGTTAAGAATTTATGTTCACAACGGACTATTTTGAGGTTCATTCACGTTTTCAATTTGCCAAGATTAACATCAAAATTGGCGACTTGTTTTTTTTCAGTTGTATTCAACTAACTATTGCGATTCGAAACGAATCATAGAATGGAATACTTTATAATAAATATGAGACGGATGCGCTTGGCGAGGATAATTGCAATAATCAATATGACAAATTGGTAATGGCATTAAAAGTTAGTCAAATTATGATACATTATCTTTACAATGAGCCAAGACATAATTGCTAGTATATGTTCCGTTCTGGCACTCGAGTAGAACACCCACGCACGCATACCCTATATTTTACACGAAAAACCCCAAAAAAAAACCCAACCTAACAACCAATTTCCATCCCTTCACCCACCTTCCCACCCCAACCTAACCTTACGCAAAAGTAAGACACACCCTAAAAAATACTCTAAACCTAACCGAACCTAACATAACCTAACCTAACCTTACCTAAGGGTCTGGGGTGGGGTCAAAGTCGAAACACAAATGTCCAAATCTAAATGAACGACCTTCAACCCATCACATCTCTACAACCTCAAGTCGTATCATCAAACTGAAATAACAAAACCTGTCCGGGAAAACCCCAGCTAACCAATAAAACCCTTAAAACCGAGTCCCGCCCCCTCACTACCCGTCAAACGACGAAAAACCTAACCAAACCACCAAATTCACCCCTCATCAACTTCCCAACCCCCATATCTCGCTACCCAAACCACCTCACATACATACCAAAATTTGTCGACTAGCATCTCAACTAACCAATTCAATCGCTAAACACAAGTCGCGCCGATACACTTTTCCTATAAACCCCATTTTTCCACATTTCACCAAATTGGCCCATACCCACCTTCAACCCATCACATCTCGCCATCCAAACCCCCCACCACCCAACATGGATACCAAAATTTGTCGACTAGGACCCAAACTAATCAATTCAGTCGCCAAACAAAAGTCGCGCCGAACAAATACACCAAAAAATCAAAAACACCCAATTTTACCCAATTTTACCCAGCCTCACCTTCCAGCCCCAACATCTCGGAAACCAAACGTCCCCCGACCAAAACTCACTTAACCTTTTTTGTTGGCAAGGTTTCAAACTACAAAACAAAACCCTCAAAACCTTACCAGCACCAACTCACTACCCGCCAAAAAACAAATCAACCCAACACGTTCAAACCCGCCCTATTTCGACCTTCTAAACCCCATATCTCCACAACCAAACGTCGCCCCACCTCAAATAATAACCCTAAACTGTCGCCCATCACCCAATCTTTACTTTCCAAACAACCTCACCCCCAGTTGCACCTATACAAAACCAAACAAAACCAAACCAATATCCTTGTCTCTCTTAAACATCCAAACAAGACAGACCTGCTCCACCAGCCAAACCTAAAAATCAACCTAAACCCTCCAAACTTTTACACACCATCCAATCAACCCCCCTGAACCCTACGATGGCCCCCTTTGTCCCCCGCACCGCCGGGATGTGGCTGTGCACGCACTGTGCACGCTGGGTTTTTCCCTCCCGTACAAGTTGCGCTTATTGCGACCAGCCAAGGGCCGAGGGCGCTCAAGTAAGTTCCTTGCCTAACCCCCAACCCCCACAACCCATTCCTATCCCACAACCACGCCAACAAGCCCCCCTCAACCCCCCACAACCCATTCCAATCCCTCAACCCTCTGGGAGCGGCGGTCCTCTTGTTCTTGCCGCACCAGCCTTTCAATTCCCAAACAATCCCCGCAAATTCGAAAAACAGGTGTCTTCCACCCCTATTCACAACCCTGAAATAATCTGCCCAAACTGCAGAACCTCCAATTATTCAACCCGACCAGGTTGCAGATTATGCCTCCGAAAACTACCAAAATAAATCACAACCCTACCTCCAACCCTTAAACCCCAAACCTAACCCAACCCTACAAAACTCTTCCTCTCTTCGACTATTCAACAAATCTACTTTAAATAAATGAATTAAACCCACCAAAAAATGGAATCAATTAACCCCGCATAAAAAAAACCTCTCCATAAAAAAAAACCAAAAAATACAAAAAAAATATCCCAAATGAATTAACCCATAATTATCTAACCCTACGTGACATAAATTAAAACCACATTAAAAAAAAAATCAACTAAATCTAACCATTAATCAACTTTTCCATCAATTACAAAACCAAAAAAATCAATCAATTAACTAAAAAAACCCCCCATCCCAATTATACAAAAACAAACCTCTTTATTACCCCAAAACCCTTAAAAATCAAATCAACTTAATAAAAAAAACCCTTTTTAAACCCTCCATTAATTATAAACTAGAACGTTTCAATAAATTTACCCCACCCTACCCCACCTAAACTACATTTTTTCCCAAAAAAAAAAAAAAAACCACCAAATTTAAATAAACTAGCCAAATTAATTACAACCCAAACCCCCCAGCCCGAAATATAAACCCTAACCTAACCAATTTTTTCCAAACTACATCAAAATTAACCAAACCAAACCCTCTAGATTCCCCCTTTCTAACACAACTAGGACACGCTTTCCCCAAATTTCTAGGACACATTTTCCCCATTTTCTTAATCTAACCTAACCTTCGCTCGCTTCGCTCGCTTAATTTACATCAATATCCCATTACACCACATGTTGTCACAGCTATATTAAATCTTTTAACCCTTACCTAGAGTCTAAAACCCACAAAATCACGCATACCCTATATTTTACACGAAAAACCCCCCCAAAAAAACCCAACCTAACAACCAATTTCCATCCCTTCACTCACCTTCCCACCCCAACCTAACCTCACACAAAAGTAAGACACACCCTAAAAAATACTCTAAACCTAACCTAACCTAACCTAACCATCCCAGTCTGTCATATCTACCAGCCTAGTCTGCTATTGGCAATGACAGGGCCACTGACAGTTTGTCTGGCACTCACTTGGCTCTGCCATCTTTACCAGCCTAGTCCGCCATTGGCAATGATCTGCATTGGCAACCACACCCAAACGACAATCCATCAAATAACTACTCCCAGATAACCACCGTGAGGCAGCCACAGCCTGATAACCACCAGCAGGCCGCCACACCCCGATAACCACCATGCAGCAGACATACCCCGATAACCACTTTCAATCTTGTTTAGTGCAAACATGTGCACACTAAACACAAACAGTTCACGACATGAGAAGACGATCTTGTTTAGTGCAAACATGTGCACACTAAACACAAACAGTTCACGACATGAGAAGACGATCATGTTTAGTGCAAACATGTGCACACTAAACACAAACAGTTCACGACATGAGAAGACGATCATGTTTAGTGCAAACATGTGCACACTAAACACAAACAGTTCACGACATGAGGCGACGATCTTGTTTGGTGCAAACATGTGCACACTAAACACAAACAGTCCATGACATGAACGTTCGAATCGAATCTTGTTACCTAACTGCCCCTCCTATCTGGGGGTACAGCCACCCACCCCCAGATAACCACCACCCCCAGATAACCGCCATCCCTAGATAACCACCCACCCCCAGATAACCACCCACCCCCAGATAACCACCCACCCCCAGATAACCACCACCCCCAGATAACCATCGCCCCAAATAACCTCCACTCTCAGATAACCGCCCACAAAGAGTACCACACGTTCTGGCATTTAATTTTTCGAATTTAATTTATTTTGAATTTTCGCGCCATTCGAAACTTAACTTTCTCCACTTTCACTTCCGTTCCGGAAAATTATTTTCACCTCCGTTGCCAACAAACATTTCCAGCTAATAATATAGCTAGCAACCACCAAGCATAACAGATTGGCATGTCTTTTCAAACCAAACCTGATAGTTGGAAATCGCATTGTCTTTTTGTTGAAACCACAATGAAGCCTTTCTTGACTACTATTGGACCATTAGGACATGAAATACATGTAGTGGCTGTCACATACGTAAATAGTAGTTAGGAAAATTCTTTGCTGCCTATTCAATGAAACCACAATTGACAGGACATGAATTTGTTGTCTTTCCGGCACGTCCACCATGAAAAACATATAGTGACTGTTGCATGCGCCCACTTTCATTATGCAAAAATCTTCGTTGCCTCCTCCATGGAACCACAATACTAGAATTTGTCCTCCACGGACCCATGGAATAGCAATCCTTATGGAACGCGGAATACCCAGTCGTTTCTTCCCTGGCCCCAGTGCCAGGGAAGAAAATACCCAAAAGAATGGTGCACTTAGCACTAAGAATGCAACACTATGATTGGTTCACGCACAACCTTAACCATCACCCTGCGAAAAAGACACCGAGCATGGAAGAGAGATTCATCACAGTGGTGGTGGTGGCGGTGGTAGTGGTAGAAAGTCGTGTGAAGGCAAGTCCGCGATATATACAAGATCGCTCATATATGCCACGGACAATGAATAAATCCGTTGTCCTTTCCATGAAACCATCACCCGAGAGCTTGTCCACCAGGGACC